TAGGTTAGGAGGGGAAGAAAAGTTGCTGATTTCACATTCGACTGGAGCAATTTCCGGTTCTCAATCGGCGCTTTTAGCCTCCGCAACTCTCCGAGGTGTCAAAAATCGCTCGTTTCAGACGCGGCGAGTGTCACTTGTTTGCATTTCTCCGTAATTTGTGTTACTTCTCTTTAGAGTGCACATTTTTCGCGCCGGCGGGATTAATTTATCGCTGCTGAGTTGCTCTTCCCTTTTACACTGTTTTACTCGACTCGCTTCAGCATCATGTGACTTCTCTCTCTTGCTCGTGTTTGTTGTTATTATTATTAAAAATATATATATTTCTTTATTTGCGGCTAATTACACTCGCTGGACGAATTTATTTACCGCGCTCCCCACCTTGTGTGAATTGTCCAATTGATTCCACGCCGGCAAAATAAATATTTGAAATATCGCGACAAAGGTATTTGTCCGAATGCATTTCACCCGTTGCCGCATATGAATAATGTATCCTTTGTTATGACAACCAAAATAATTAAAGGCGGAACGCATTATAAATGTCTATTATCCGATATTATCCAAATATTGTGCGCCGGTTGACATAATTTCCCCTCTATTATCGCGTCTCCCGGTGTCTCCGTCACGAAGAGAGAACTATTTCGTGCGGATAGTTAATTACCGGAGTCTTAACTTTTACAGAGGAGATTCCACTCATCGTATGATTGAATCGCGTGTCAATCTCGCCATGTATACGCGTGACGCATGATGCGAGTATTATATCCCGTGCCGCCCCCGTGTAATCTATTAATACGTTCAATTGAATTAATCGTAATTAGTGTAAGCCATAAAATGATATTCTAATATTACGTTATCCGTAATTTTCCGGGATAACGTGCAGATGCGCTTTATTGCGTTACTTTAATGTTATTACTGGTATTAAGCACACACACACACACACACACACACACACTGTAGCGCAGGAGAGCGCCTATCGCGTCGCCGAATCTGACCGGGAAGGAAAAAAAGCGCCTACCTACGTTACATCGGAACTAATCAGAACTGAAAAAATGGGAGAGAGACGCAGCCAGAACTCGACTCATTGAGGCATGAAAATTGTACGTTAAGTTACATTACGTTAACGTGGCGAATCCCAGGCCATACTATCAGACGCACTTTGATTCTTTTAACAGGTTATGAGGGGAAGAAAAGTTACTGATTTTATGTTTATTCGATTGGGCTAATTTTCGGTGTCAAACAGCGCTTTCACCTCCGCGACCTTCCAAATCAATCGTTTCGTCCAGAATCTTTGTTAAACAATATTAATATTTTTCACGCAAAGATTTATTTTCCCGTTACCAAGTGAGAAATCTGAAGTTTCAAGTCACAAGTAAACAGAAGTAAAACTAATTCTCAATCGGCACGCACACTCAAAACTCACGTCTGTTCTCATTATTATCAATATTATGCAACCAGCGCGGATTCATGCTTGTTCAAGGTTATTGTAACAGCCGAATGAAGTGACGTCGTAAAAAATATCTTTTTGTAGAATTAACGGTTCCTTAACAAAACTCGATCGATGGATGAGCCGTATTATAAAGCTAGTTCTCCGGAAGTCGATGAGATGTAAAAAATTAAGATGCGTCCAATAATATGGACTGTATAGGCGAAGTGTTCTCTCGCAATTGACCTCGAAATAAAAGAATTCCATTAAGAGTTTCTGCATTTACAGGACTCCGAGGAGGACTAAGGATTCTAACGTTTATAGCTTATCCCCTTCCTCACCCTCCTGTAAGATAGCCCGGATGTTCAATCGCTTATAACTTGAGAACTATTAAAGAGCTTGACAGTGATATAAATGGCATTATTCAACTTCTTCTCCAGCGGTAAAGATTTTCGATGGCAGCCTGACAGTGGCCGTTTTCGGATGCGAACTTTATTAGAGGGTGGAGCGAGGCAGGCAGGGAGGGTGGGTTTCCGCGGGGAAAACAAAAATCATAAAAATCCATTCGTCTCTGTAATTTCTCAGCGCAAATAGAGAGCGCGAGAGAAAAGAGAGGGAAAAACACCATTTCCATCCTCCGCTTGTGCTGGACGATCGATGGGAATGAATAAAATAAGAATAAATCAGTATAATATCGCTCGATAACTCGCCGAATTGCGCGACGATATTACGATTGTTCGCGCGTCGCGAGCTCGTCCGGTAAAAATCCCTGTAATAAGAGTCCAGACACCGTCGCTGTGACCGCGATGTTTGGATTAAAAGGGGGGAGCTTACAGCCGTAATGCGTGAATACTGTTAAAATAAGCGCAAACCGAAATATCCGCTTTTCATGATGCGGTAATGATTTTCCTTGACTTGTCAGCAAAGCAATGTAACGGATATTTCTTTTCAACGAGACATAATTATTTTTTTTTTATGGAACTCGTTGGAGCGGAAATGTAATTTGTTTATGGCTGAGTACAAAAAAGAATTTTGTTCGTGAAAATAACGAAATCATTACACGTTAAGCATTAAATGCAAAGTAGATAAAAATCAGGTAGAATAACGTCCAACACAAATAAGAAAATAAAAAAAAAGATATACAATATAGAAAAACAATATTGTGTGTGTGTGTGTGTGTGTGTAACATGTTATACACAAACATTAATCTTTCTTGGCTGCCAGTTACTCTATTCCATATTTGCTATATTTTGAGGTTTATCGTGCAAAAACAAATTTATACTAGAAAAAAATCATCATTTCGAATAAAAACGTTTCTTCAAAAACCCCTCATCCCGAAACTGTCGACACATTTCGTAGATTTTACGTAGGTGGCAAATCTTTACTTGCATTGTAACTCAGCTGATTTGACGTCATTCCAACCGGAAGCTTGAACCCGAATATGACGGAGCCAATCAGAAATCAAGCATACAGTGTCCAGATTCTTATTATTATCATCGTGATTAAAACGCGATCACCGGAGTGTCATTTTTCAGCAATACTTACCCGATACGAGAGGAGGTGGAGAGGCGACGCGTTGTGCGGATTATACATTACTCGCGTGCGCGTGCGACCACGTCTGGGTCGCGTTGCGCGCCATGATTTATGTATAAGATATAATGAAAGATTAAAGTCGGCTCTAGACCCCCCCCCCCTTCGCCGCCATCAGCCGGCGATGCAAAAAATGTGGTACAAATAAGACATTAACGTTACGAGGGCGGCCGAGTGTGATGCATCATTTAGCGGTGCATAAAGGAAAGTCGCCGGGCGTGATAACCCAAGCGAATGCATTACAGCACGGTTGTACACCGGCAACACATCGGAAGAACTACGTTGTGTGTTGTGTCGTAATTACAATTACCGGAGGTGGGGTGGGGGGGGGAGGCCTGCTGCGAGATTTCACGGTGTACGAGTTTCTCCCTCCTTCCCTCTCTCTCTCTCCCTCTCTCTCCGAAACGCTCGGAGAAACGTTAACTGGACAGAGGAGGTAAGGACGAACACGGTCGTGGAATTGAATCTAAGATTCGAGCGTGCGCCGGAAATCGCGGCGATTGTCCGGCTCTTCCGTCCGTCCGTCCGTCCGTCCTTTCGTCCTTTCTGCCGTCCTCGTTCCTAAGCGATGCGGGTCCGAGAATCTCTTATCGTCGCGCGCCCTCGGAGATCATGTGTGTGCGAGAGATTCCGCTGATAATCGATAATGTGTGATTATTTCAGAAGACAACGATACGAGGTGCCCCCCCCCCCCCCCCCCCCNGAAAGACTAGTCGCTGGACAGAAACCAGACGGTTTTCACTGGCTTGAATTAATTTAACGATAACTGCTCGGAACTGTCCAAAAAATATTAACTATTATTTTTTGGCCAGTTACTCGCCATAAACTATTTAAAAAAAAAAAAGTAGTAAGTTAATACTGTACAGTTTCTATCCAGCGAAAACTCTTAAAATTCTGGCTAGCGTTTTTCTTGGCCATTTCCCGGCCAGAAACTAGGCAAATTAATAAATGAATGAAATAGTAAACAAATGAAACGTTGAAAATCTTATCAGGAACTGACCAGAAACTGGCTAATTTTACCAGCCATTGTCGAAGCAAAAGTCCCCCCAAACTTGTAAGGTTTTCGCCAGTAAAACTGAATCAAAAACTAGCTAGTTAGAGAATTATTGGCCAGTTACTGGACAGTTACTGGCTAGAAACTGGTTTAATTTCTACTTGGGCCGTTCACGAAACTGCGTCTTATTAACAATTTAATTGATAGATATCACTGATAGATATTAAAGATAACGTTTGATGCAAGACGAAGCGTCGTCTTCGAAATCTACTCCGAGAGAGAGAGAGAGAGAGAGAGAGAGAGAGAGAGAGAGAGAGAGAGAGAGCGGATTAATAAGAATAGAACGTATTCCTGGTGGCATTTCCACGTCGTCGTCATCTTGACCAGCGAGAAGCGGAAGCTGCGAATTTCCAACCTGGTACTTGGAAGTTGAGACCAGGCCCTCCTCCTCCTCTGATCTAACGACGTGACGACGTGAATAGCAGAATGGTGAAATTTTATTGCGATACGTAAAAAGAGGAGAGAGAGAGAGAGAGAGAGAGACAGAGAGGAACGACGCCGAGAGCCGATAAATATTTGTTATCGGTAGCGCGAGCCGCTCGTAAAATAAAATATAAAATAAGAGGAGGAAACGCTCTCACGGAAGGAGGAGAAAAGAGCGATATCGCATCTCAGCAGGGCGGTCAAGGATGGGGAAAAAGGGATCTATATAACGCAGAGGTTGTTCGTATGGGGGAGGGGGGGGGGAGGTTACAGCATTTTCTTTCTCTCCGCGTAAAGAGAAGAGATTCTCTCCGCAGCTCGGGTGTGAATGCGCGAATTAAGATTTCTCATATCGGGAATCGCTGGGAATCCGGTCCCGATGATACCACACGCGATGTTGCATATGATGGCGTTACAGCGTGACTTTTAGCGACAATGATAATGACGACGCGCGAAAGTCGAACGTGAAAATGCATGAAATGTGAGAAAATTTAAACACATCTGGAGCCTTACCACTACTATTATCAGATTCTGACTTGTCTAAGGCCTGGATCTCCATTTTACGGTGCAGCTTCGTTGTGGTAGTTGATGTCGTAGTGAGCGTTCCTGCACAACAAACATCACATGTCACATCTAGTCACTCATCAGCTCAGCATATAGATATCTTTGCAAAAAGGAAAAGAAAAAAATGCGCAATGAAATAATCTCGGAAACTCGATAAACATCCCGTCTCGCGATTTCGCGTCTAAGCTACATTTTCGGAGAGGGAAGGAGGGAAGGGTGCGAAGGACATGCAATAATATAGCGAGCTAAAGAGGAGCCGGGAGGAGACTCGACGTTCCGCGCTGCTACTTCTCGCGAGAGACGAGGCACCATCCGTGCCTCCGGAGTGTCGCAAGTAGACGCGAATGGAGACGAGTGACGAGATCTTGTTGCCAGTCGAGTGCAGGCGCGATGAATCGTGTCTCGGTAATTCCTGAACCGGTTAAGCATCTAATAGCGTTTACGTCGATAACGCCGCTTGAGAGAACGCGCGCTAGAAATTAAAAATATCGTTGCCATATTTACTCCGACGCACGTTAAATTTAACTGCGTCGTTAATCGTAAAACAACGGAGAAATTCACTCGAAGAAAAGTTAGAAAGAAATTGAGGCATCGTTTATTTTTAGATCGCACGATAACAGTAAACGGCACGTCCCTTTAAACGATTCTCCGTTCATCGGCCGGCTTAGCCCGGCCGGTCAATTTTTTACGAATTCGCGTCTTCCCTTTTTTCCCCTTTCTTTTCTCCTTCTTTCAATTTCCCCGTAATTCCTCATGAGTGAAAGGACAATTTTGGCGGCGATCAATTTACTTTGTTAAGTTTTATTAAATCGTCGATGTAATTAATTTTAATATCCCCCCCCCCCCCNCCCCCCCCCCCCCTCTCTCACTCTTTCTTTCTTTCTTTTGTATTACGCGACGACGAGCGGATAAAAATAGACAGGAAAAACTTTGATATTATATATATCAATGATAAAAAAAACACATGAGAGAGATACTATGTCCCCGCGCGAGATACGGTCAACAACTACAACTTAATAGACGAATGTTACACAGCGGACACTTTCCGGAACCGACGACGCACGGCACGATATGAATATGCGAGCGAATATGCCGCTACACGAATTTCTTCTTTAATTACGGGTCGCACGCATACACGTAATTATATAAAAAAACATATATGCGACAATTCCGCTTTGTCCACACCGATTTTAATAATAATAATAATAATAATAATAATAGTAACAACAACAACGATAATAATGCAGTCGCGTAATTAAGAATAAAATACAAACGTACGCTGTCTCTCTCACCCCTCCCCCCCCCCTTCCCCTCTTTCTGCCACCCTGCCTCTCTTTTAACCCAAAATCTCGAGCCCGCATGAACACGCGGGAGAACCGAAGCTTTCCAGATTTTTAATTGCACAACGAGGTCAGGGCCCGCTTTCTAATTACGCCAAACCAAAAGTTCTCGGGCCATTTTCGCTCCAACAACGCGGGACGCACACAGTGCGCGCATGCTCAACCGACCTGATCTTTTCCGCCCACGGGACCATATATTTAATCGCACGGCCGAGAGAACACACACACACACCCCGTTTCTCGCTCGTTATATCGGTCATCTTGGCGCGAACAATGCAAATGATATGTTTGCCAGTTTATGAGGGTCACAATGGAGCCGTCCGGCATGCACTCGCGCTGAATACAGCGGCCCCGCGCGCTATATATCGAATGCGCGCATCGAGTTTATCGTTTCTAAAGTACGCTCGTGAATGCACGTGATGAAACTGGATATCAACTCGGTGGCGCGTATCATTTAACACGAGATCCTCAGGCGTGTTGTGTACGCGCGAATGACACGCTTTCGCCACCCTCTGGAGGGTTGGTAACCGACGAGATAAGCGAACGACTTTTTCTTCCTCAATCGTGTCTGACGGATCAAGCCGAACAATTATTATCGCGCGAAACGAGCGGTCCTTTCATTCTAAATCGGCGCAAAGCGCGAGGATCTTCCTCGCGTGGTCCGCCGCGACGGTTTGCGAAGGTAATGTAACTCTGATCTCGATTCGATTTCGGTTTGTTCGGGGCGTTCCTTCGAACGGAAACTCATGATTCGTTTGTATCGAGCGCGTTCGTCGGGGGGGCTCGTCCGTCCAAATATGGAGAACGGAAGAACGGGGCGAGTGCCAGAAATTTGCCATGGTAAACAAACGACGGGGATGCGGGGAAAATATGTGAAAAATCGCGGTGTCAAAATTCGGCTCGGTGAAGAGAGAAGATGAAAGAAAACAAGCCGCTCGCAGCGCTGAAAGTCCGTGAGAGAGGTGATTCGCCGCGGTGGGTTCGGAGCCAGAAACGGCCGCGCGCGAGCGTATGCACACGTTAACTATTTTTTGGCGATCGTCCCGGAGAACGTGGAAGTGCCGTGGCATTGATTGATAGAGGAAAAAAAAATATCTCGCTAAAGGTCAGGGCCCCCAGAAGGGTTGCGCGCGCTCGGCTTGTCCTCGTAAGCGCGCGTATACGCGGAGGAAGAAGCGTCTCTCTCATCGATCGAGCGCGCGAGCGAGCGATTTCGAGGGAACTGGCGAATTTCGAAAATGATTGTGTCGCGCGATCGCGATTGTTGAAAGGTTGGGGGAGGGGGAGTAGAGGAGAGAAGCATGCATGTGTATAAACCTTTTTAAATCGGTCTCGTTGTGCTTGACTCGTCGACCCCTCTTCCCCCCTTTCACTCTTTCTCTCTCTCTCTCTCTCTCTCTCTCTCTTTCCTCCTCTCTTTCGTGTATTCGTGGAAGAAAACTCATTGAAGGAAAAACTCATCACTTACCGGCGTAATAGACGGTTTTGCGGGAAACGTTGTAGGTCGCCTTCGGTATGCCGAGCAAGCATTTGACAATCGTCGCTTCCGGTAAATCTTCGTCCACTAAAGCCACGCGCGATAAGATATCGTACAGTCCATCGTCACGCAGCGTTACGGTGGGCTTCCTCCCTAGCTTCTCCTGCATACCCCTGCGCAACGCCGGCGCAATTATAAAGGATTAGTTAAAGCAGAAATATCACACAATTCTGTTTAAAATATCTCTATCCGACGCGCCAACGTTCTCTCTCATTCTCTCTGTCTCGCTCTCGCTCTCGAATAAATTAGGGAAAAGCCGAGCCGCGTGTCTGGCGCGCGCGCGGAAAAAAAGGCGTCTACTGTTCGCTACGATATAGACGATAATCTTGCCTCTACTGTACAAAATTGCGAGATTCTCCGCTGTGTGTGTCTCGAAAAACGTTTCTCTCGTATATTTTACAAATTGGTACTTACTCGACGGAGATGTCGAGGGTCGGTTGAGGATAAAGTCCCTCGGCCTTGCACGTTATTTCGACTCCGTCTTTATCATCTATCGCCTTCTTCTTGTACACGAGGTCAAACTTTTCCTCGGTCGCTGCAACGAAGAAAATCAATCTTGCTGCAGTATCCGGCGGTTAACTAACTCACTCACGCGCGCGCGCGCACGCACGCACGCACACACACACACACACACACACACACTCTCTCTCTCTCTCTCTCTCTCTCTCTCTCTCTTCCCCTCTTTCTCTCTCTCTCTCTCTATATAACTACCTCTCTACCCCCTCCCCGTTCTCTCTCGCTCAATGTTGCTTTGCCGGCTAAATAAACAATTCCTCCCGGCCCAGTTGGACGTCGGCGGCAAGCGGGCGTATTCGCGGGAGTCGAATTCAACTAAACGATTATTCGCGAGACGGTTCGCGAGACAAGTGTGCGAAAGCCCGGCGTGCGAACGAGAGACAACTGGTGCGAAAGATCGCAACAGTATGCATTAAAGCTTTCGCACACGAATTGCCGTAATCGTAAACATACAGTGTAAATTTAAGCTGAAGGAAAACCAGTCATGATATTGCTTTAGATTTGTGTAATCTAGAAGAAGACAGAATTCTCTCTCTCTCTCTCTCTCTCTCTCTCTCTCTCTCTCTCTCTCTCTCTCTCCGACGGTAAATCTAATTGTACACCGAGAAACAGATTTCTTCAGACTTAATAAATACATATTTATTGCAACCAAATAATATTCTATTCGGTTAAAAGATGTTATTTCAAATAATAGCGTTCTTTCCGACAAACAACAGAGTTTTCTTGAATGAGACTTTCTACTCAAACAAATGATATTTCATATATGTTGTTTCTACGAAACAATTTTTAGTCAAATAAATAGAAATACTAAAAATCTAAAGAAACCTATTTCCCTGTATATAGAGTTAGAAGCAACTGAGATTCAACCGATTATCGAATCCCAATCACTCGGTTTTAATCCCAGCTACACCTTCTCCTGGGGTAAATTTAAAGCAACCGCCTGATTGGTCCTAAATTTACGCCTTGTGGTTACGGCAATTCGCATGCAAAAGCCTTTACACGGTCGCGCGAGGTAAGAGAGAGAGAGAGAGAGAGAGAGAGAAAGGGAGGAAGACACTTACAGTAGACTACCATCGACGCGTTCGCCGTTCGCTCATCCTCGAAGGTGGATATCACGCATGTGTACTCGCCGGTAAGATCGACGCCCGGCTTATTCAGCTTCATAGCTCGGTACTCGGTGTACGGATCGTCGCTGGCTTTGTACGTTAAGTCGACGTATTTCCTCGCGGGCTCGCTCGCCTGAGGGTTCCTGCCGTAAATCCACTGGTAAACCAGCTCGTTGGTGCTGAAAAACCATTTGACGACGAGGCCGGTGCTCGACGTGTTCTCGAGGTCGTAGTCGCAGTCTAGGACGACGAAATCGGTGTCGTCGGCCTTCACCATGGCGGGCACGTTGACGCTCTTGATAATCAGCTGCCGGGATTCTGCAAACACACCAAGGTAACACGCCTCGTTAAGCCGCGTCTACGATATAATCGGTCGCCGATATCGAAACCGGGATATCTCACGACCGAACCTTTGTTCGCTCAAAGGAGAGGGGCCAGGAACGGCACTACAGGGGATGATGGTACACTTTACAGCCCAGCGAGATGCTACAATCGTCGCGATTCACGAAACGCGACCGAGACGCACCCGGGACGAGGTGGTAGATTCTCAATGGAGATTGTGAACAAGATCGGCTTTAATTGGCTGTCGCACGGGTGACACTGCGTAATTTTATTAAAGGCCATGAAAACTAACATAATAGATATGGCAAAGCAATATATCCATGCTTCTGTAAAATATTAAACCCGTTGTAGATAAACTTCGTCTACATCTGAATACACAGACTGGGCGAAACAAACAGCGAACGAACGAACATCGAAAGCGAATATTCGCCGGATGTTCGTTTTGGCGCTCGTTTCTCCAAACTGCTTCGTTCAGCTGTATTGTACTTTCAGATACAAAAGTATGTACCAATCGGATCCTTCATTGAGCATGAGAACCTCCAATGCAACTATCTATATATAGATTTCACGGGTATGTCGGTTTTGAAACCTACTTTCTGGAAACGTCAATCTCCAAACATAAAAAAAATAGTTTATTCAGTTTAGCTATTTAGTTTGCAAGAAAATATGTTTCCACAAGACCATCATATACACAATATGTCCCGGTGAAGAGGCGATCGGTTCTATCTCCGAGCTACCTGCAGCACCATCTCCTCGCTCGCTTCCTCGAGGGTATCACCGTAGAGAAAAGATGACCGACTTTCGATACATCGAATTCAATCATCGTTCCTCCAGACTCTAACTCTCGTGCGAGCGATTCGATAATAAAAACGTCGCGGCGGCTTTTGAACGGTTTCCACCGTTCCTCCTCTCTTCGTCGTCGCCTCTGAGCAAACTTACGGTGCTCGCTCGCTCTGATACCGATTTTCCATGCAAACGATTCGCGCTACGAGGAAAGCGGGCCAAACACGTGTCTGATAATCGGCCGTAGAGTGCAATGCGAGAGAGAGAGAGAGAGAGAGAGAGAGAGAGAGAGAGCGCGAATGATCTAATATCGGGCGGCGTTTCGGCCTGTATCAAATCCTCCACTAATAGTAGCACTAACCCCGACGTAATAGTTCACCGACGAGTTCGCCCGGGCGGGTGTTAATTAATTCGGCATGCCGATCGGCACCGGTGTTTGTCAATTGTCGCAAAGGTCGCGGCCCCCGACAACATGTCTCCGCGACATCGCAACCGAACCCGGCTTTGCCGATCGACGGCGGCGGCGGGGCTTCGAACAACGTCGACAACGCACACACGAGCTTCCGCCCGGTATTACATATTCCGCGCCGCTTTCCGGGCTTTGTGCGCCGTGATGCTGCGACGATGACGGGAAAGAGGAAAAAAGAGGAGTGGCGCGTGCACACACGCATGAGGAAACGAAATTGTGTCACGGCGAGAATTCCGGCCGGCCGAACACGTGACAAGTGACCGTCGTCGTCCGCAATCGAACAGCCTCGCCGAAAAAGAGAGAGAACGATGGACGTCATACGTTACGACGAAGCGTTTAGTTAATTCGTCTCACCTCCGGTCATCCTCCTGTCAGACCATATTTCTCGCTCGCCAGGGAGGGCGAGTGAGCCCTCCCTCCTTCCTCGTCCGCCCCATTGAAACAATCGCCGTACAACCGTGCCCCCCTCCTCGCTCCTTTAGTTAGCTGAAAAGTTTTCGTGCAAAAAAAAAGCGCCACTATATTCAAGACGACGAAAGTTTACGGAATTTATCGCTCAAGTGTCGCCGCCGTGAGAAAATGTTCATTTTTCATTATACCCCGCGATATACCCGCCCCCTCGCGTTGCCATCGCCGCCGCCGACGCTCTCTGGTCGACGAGCTGTTGTGATGGGATAGCGGCGAGGTAAATTCAAAATTATATTAATCGCCGAACGAACGAGCGAACAAACGCACGCTCCACGGACGGCCGGAGAGAAATAATTAAAACAATACAGAACTTTCAGTTTATTTCACGCAATGACGCACGAAATATTTATGTGCCGCGGCCGGGGCGTCCATTTGGAAATAGGGCTGAAAAAATTCCGGGTAAAAATTTACATCTCGACGTGACACGTTTGTCGAATTGTTTCCGGGTCAGATTTTTACGTATGTTAAGTGTGAAAAATCGGGCGCGTTATCGCCCCCTTCCCCCTTATAGGTGACCGCACAAGCCGCCGGTGTTTAACACAATGCGTAGGTAAACGGTTGAGAGGGGAGGATAATGTCCTGGATGGATCCAGCACGAATGACCGTCTTGCGGGCACCGACCGTCAGGCAGATCCAATTTGCTCGCCGAAGCGAGCGGGCATCGATCCGCGCCGGAAAAGGTGAATTAACATCGCGGGTTAAGGTGAGCAAGAACGTGCACTTTTCGCGATGACGCTGAAATTATGCATATGATCGCGATTCCGGGATGAGGATGGCGACGAGGTGGAAGAAGAGGAATATTTTTATTCAAGCTCTTCCTCTCTTTTTATCTTGCGGCGCGCAATGAATACAAAAATCGCGGCATTCATTAATACTGCGCGCAGTTACGCACGTCGTCTACGTCGCGCGATCGTGTGTTTTTTCCCGCAATCGCGTCGCGCGAAAACGCCGTACCTCGCGAAGCGAGAGATACTCCGCCGTGTTTCCCGGGGACGTGACGCTAAGGAGGAGGAACGAAGCAAAGAGCGAACGGACAGACGTTGGTTCTGAGTGTCTCTCAAATTAGAGTATCCTGCCGAGCGGTGCGTTTTTAACACCCCGTGTGCAACATTGCGGCCGGTCTCATCGAAAATACAGATTTCACGATGCTTCGGAAATGGGAAGTTGTCACTAACGTGAAGAAGCTTAAAGTAAGCGGGTAAAAACAGCCCTCTTACGAAAATATCTCGCCGTTTTTACTTCTTACTGCACACAGTTATCCGTTTTTGGATTTTAACCCGTCATTTTTATCGTTTCTCGCTCACTCTCAGACAAGCGCGTGCGGTCTATCAAGCGAAGAAACATGACGAGGATAAGTATTTTTAACGAGATCGCCCATCTTCGATTTTCCGGCTGATAAGTGACGGCACGTTAATACGTTCCTCCTATTTTGCTCGCATTTCGTTTCGATATATCGAAAGTATCTGTCCGTATTATTGGACACGACTTTGTTTTTTTTATAATTGTGACAGAAAAAATAATTTCTCTGAGTGTAGGTAATAAGCTTATTATCCATTTTTCGTGAACAGTATCACAAGTTAATATCGATTTGATATTGGTGGGGAATACTGAAATGATAGCAATGAATCAAGACTCGATAAATAGTAGACCGATTACGTCCGTATTGTAAAAGTAGCAAAAATGATCGATTTCCAATAGCACCGATTCCCAATAATGACTATTATTATTATACAATTATTAATAGATAACCACTATTATGGAAGGATGGCTACGGATACTTGTTTATGCCTAAGGATGTGCATTTTTAATGTGTATGAGATAAGAAAAAGATACCGGAGAGATTTACTCGCTTGCCGCTTTTACTACTGCTATTAAGCTCCATAGCCCTTAGTGACAATTTATACTACTACTCTATTTGAGGCAATGATATTATAACGCGAAATCTATGATTCAGAAATAAAGCTGAATATGTACGATTCCTACATATGGGTAAATATTGTATTCAGTCGTAGTGTACAATGTTAGTTTACAATTAGTGAAGGCGGCGGATCACACGTGATCTCCGTGGCAGTCTGAAACGTTAAAGTTAATAATGGCGCTATCGCGCGCTCGGATGAGTATTCAGGGGCGACCGAAAGACTTGATATATAAATAGGGAAGATAAACCGTACGCGAGAGACAAAAAGTGGGTAACTTCGGCCATTCCGGCAGACGGCTACATTCTACGAAAAATATTTGTTGAAGCGCCGCTCTTACCCGACGGCACGAGAACGTCTGAAAAGCGTGCGCAGATCGTTTGCGGCAAATATTATGCCCTTCGGCAAAATAGAGAATCGTTTTGACGAGCTTCGATCCTTTCGGCCCGAAATTTCGATAAAAAAAATACACCGCGCGGCTTCTCGATTCGTGTCGCAACACTGTGTACGCATCCCATTCTTTCCCCTTTTCCACCCCTTTTTCTTTCAGTTTTTTTTTCGCGGGTGATACCACGCGGATTGTGTCAGCAAAAAGTCTCCGATGATGCGAACATTTTCCATGCACGTTATTTAAATATGCAACGTTCGAATTAACGTAATTAATCCAAACTAATTTGCATAAAATAAAATTAATAACAACTTCTATCCCTCCTTCGTTGTATGTGTTTTACTCTTAATTAAAATAATAAAATTATTAAATTGAGTGTATATACGCACATCTTTTTTGAGACACCTCATATTCGCAATCGAGTTTCGCGTAGAAACCGGAACATCGAATGTGAGAGATCGAATGCTCCTTACGTCGAATCGGAATCATAAATTAACGACAATCGAAGTGAATTATTCCTCGATTCGGGCGGACGCGCTGCAAATTTAAATATATACTCGCACGGCAACAAAATACGCGGGAAGACAAAATACGTCGATTTTTCGTCTGTCTATCAGACAATAAATTTTGCCGGACAATGTTTGCGTAATAAAATCCCGTATTACGGCTGGGAATTGGCTGCCGCGGGAACAACTACGGCTATACATACATCGCGCCGCGATTTATCGTTTAAACGTTTTATAAATGCAAACGAAGTGCTCGAGCATTGCCGAATATAATTGACACACGCCGCGGCGGATTTAATTGATCAAGTCCCTATTACCGGCGATTAGCCGGCGATAAGATAAAAAATACACACATAAACGTGTGTGATGATCTCTTAAACGAAAAAAAAAAGAGGAGAACAAGAGAAGAAGAAAATCGCCGAGGAAAAGCGCATTAGCGCATATTT